CTATAAACTAACATAATGCAAGAGTCCCAGTAGGAAAATAAGTAAAAGCCATGAATAGGCATTTCATATGAGAAATAGCACATATGGCTTATACAGTGTTCAGCTTCATTAATAATATGGAAAATACAAATCAAGACTATGTTTTACATTCATTTGATTGGCAGAAATTGAGAAGTCATATGATAAATAATGGAAAAGAGATAGATTAAACAGTATCTCTTAAACTATTAATTCTGTAACCAATTTGAAAAAACACAGCATAAAGTTGAACAGTTATATAACCTGTGACCTAACAATTCCACTTCAAGTATATACCTAAGAAAATCTTGTATATGTGTGCCAGGAGACAAATAAAAGAATGCTCATTATGCCACTAAAAAGTGTAATTAACCTGTCTTCAGAATAGCTAAATTAATTGCAGTATGGACACACAGTAGCCTGTTGCTTATCAGTTAAAATGAACAAAATACAGTCATTTGCAACAACCTGGATTACAGTTAGGGACATAATGTTGAGTGAACAAGGCAAGTCCCAGAAGACTGCATCTAGCATGATACCTTTTAGAAAGTTGAAAATCAGGCAAAACTATAAACAGTATACAGTTTACACAATTTTTTTAAGCAAGGAAATTATAAAATTCCTGTTAGTGGTTACCTTGAAGTGACACAGGAAGGTGGAATAAGGGAAGGAACACATTGGGAAAATAAAAGTCCATGGAAATATTCTTGTTCTCGAGTTGGGTTCGTAGTACAGTATTTTTATAAGTAAACAAAAGAGCACATAGCAGTATTAATGGTGTGTCATGAACCAAAATCTAGGATTTATACTTTTGTGTATACTTGATCTCTTGGAGAGGGAAAGAAGAAATAAGGAAGAGGGGATCGTTTTCTGCTCCTGCCTGGAAAAGGCTAGCGTGCAATTTTAGTAGCTGCTTAAGGAATTGAGTTATGGAGTAGGACAATTAGAATCCAGCTGTACAGAGTTGAAACTGAAAATTGGAATTTCCTTTTTTGATTTATTTAAATTGAAGAGGATGGGGGCAACATATGTGTTATGTTATCCTGATTGCTGTCAATTGTTTAATCATTTGTGCATCTTGTAGCGAAAGTTTAAACTTGAGCTATCCAATACTAGCCACATGTTTTTTTAATTTAATTTGAATTTTTGTTTTTATTCGATTTTAATTCTTCAGTCATACTAGCAACATTTCACGTGTTTAGTAGCTGCATATGTCTTGTGGCAACCATATTGGACAGCACAGATAAAGAACATTTCCATCATTGCAGCAAGTTACATTGGACAGCACGGGAACTCTTCATGAAAATCAAATACACATTTCAACTTCTTTAATATCTCCAGAGTTGTAGTAGCTAGTCTGTATTAACAAAACAAATAGACCATAGATGACTTTACAATTGACTTACGATTATAAAAGTTTGAATTTGTTTTATTTTTTGGCTGTAGTTAGACTGATCTTTTCTCCTCATCATTCCTAACACTTTTCTTACATTGTTTATTAATAATTTGGCAAAGGATAATACAGAAAAGAAATCTAGCCTCATGTTTTATAATTATAAAATTGAAGGTGCAATTCAGATGAAGTTACAATTTATAAAAAAATGTAATTAACTCATACTTTTTTGAGCTATCAAAGGACTTGAAATAATGAAGAATGGAATTCTAATTCTTTAAAATAATCCAGCTAGCACTGAGCATTAAGGAAGGTCACCTTTCTCATTTCTCTCATATCCTACCTCAGGTCCTACACACAGCAGTTTAAATACTTCATACTAACATTGTTTGAAAGTATTTGTAAATTACTGGTTTATAAGATATTTTAAAACATTTGCTCTATATTTTTTGTTTATTTATTTGCATTTTCCATATTAATTGTTAATGACAAACTGAAAAGCTTTTTATGGACACATTTAATGCATTTATATTATTATTGCCTAATGAATAATTATACTGGGATTTTTTTTTTTATATATATACATATATAGTTGTTGAAGTCTGAAGAGGATTCCTCATATAAACCTGTGAAGAAAGCTTGTACTCAACTTGTTGATAACCTAGTTGAGCACATTCTTAAATATGAGGAATCTCTAGCTGGTAAGACATTTTATATATTGGTCATTAAGTTGATTTTGTAAGATATTTTAAAATACTTTGGGCACATTTCTCAATTTGCTTCTGGTTCTGCTTAGCCTAATAATTAACTACTTCACTTTTAAATGAAGGGGGTTTTTTGTTTGATGTTGCATCCTAGATTATATTGTTTAGGTTGACTAAGATTATCTAGAGCAGTATAATAAAAGCATAGGCCTCATCTCTTCTACATCTTTCAGTAGCATATAATTTTAGATGTTATGTTGAACAGACATAAAAGTCCAGGTGCTAATATGTATTTAGCTAGTTGCACTCATCCAAAAACTGTTTGATATCTCTTAAATGATATAAAATTTTCTCTCAAAATGAAATTGTTTTAACTATGATAAAAATGTTTTTAAAAGATTTGTAGTACATTCCTAATATCATTTATAATTGTTATATAAAATGTGTTTAATCTTGAGCTAGATAAAACGGTTAATATTTTTTAAATTGACAAATTCCTTTAAATACTTAATATTTTATATTATCTATTACATTATTTACCAGTCACAAATTTGAAGTTATTAATCAGAATATAAGTAAATAATCATATAAAACTGTAAAAGTAATAATTGATAATCTATTGCTTAAAGCACCCAAGACTAACATTACTTCCCATATCCTAATGTACATTAATGAGAAACAATAGTCAGCCTTGGTCATTCTCCAGAATTGGGAGCCTTACAGAGGTACCATTATGGCACCTAAGGAAATTGTTGATATCCTTTATATTTTATATGCAGTTTCTTTTCTTTAATTTTTTTTTCATTTTCCATGTGTACCTCTTTTTCTTTTTATCTCCTAGTTCTGTTTCCCCTATTTTTGCCTATCCTAGATTTTAAGGGTGATACTGTTGTCAGTGTTGAAAAATTGCTGATCTCTTCTAAAAACTGATTTGCCTCCTAAGAACCACTATATCTCCTAACTAGCAGCATTTCCCTCCCACTGGAGCAGTAGTTTGTTTACCTTTCTGATGTAGCACTGGTCCAGCTTCTTAATTTGTCACTGCAGTCTTTTAACATTCTTCTACCATGGTAGCATCTCTTTTTTCCCAGTACCCTCAAACACAGTATCACCTCAGCTAATTTGTTTTTGTCCCCCTTTGCTAACTCTCCCATACTTACTTCCATCCATTTTTAGATATAAGCAACACCATGTTTATTCCCAAAAACCCATCCCTAAACTTAGCTTCCATTCTACTTTTTAACTTCAGTCCTACACCCCTTAGTGTAAAATTTGCCGTCCATAGCACAGCCTCTTTGTCTTTTATACTTAATATATGTAATATGTATAATAAGAGAAAAAAATGTAGGAAGTCTAGCATCGTAAGAAATGCTAATCTTTTATTGAAGCATGTACTAAATCAATTCAGGGGATGATATTGAGTAATTTAAATAATTGTATAATTTCCACTGCCTTGTCATATTTTAGTATCTTATTTCTGTTTTTCCAGACTCTGACAATAAAGGTGTGAATTCTGGAAGATTGGTAGCTTGCATAACCACTTTGTTCTTATTCAGCAAAATAAGACCTCAGCTCATGGTTAAACATGCCATGACTATGCAGCCATACCTTACCACTAAATGTAGTGTAAGTATAGAGTTGTCCTACCTTTCTGTCTTACCATGTAGTATTTTCAGTTTAGAGTTCACATTGTGTCGTCCACAGCTTCACTGATCAACTGTGTCATGTACTCAAATATATGTTCTAATATTTGTGGCAAGTTATCTACAGACATCATTTTCTGATGTATTATATTGTTTGTTGTTGTTGTTTTTTCTGATGTATTATAAATGAAGTTCAGGCTTCGTTTCCTCCATAAGCTCCTCAGGTCAAACCCTCAGTAAATGCTTACTAAATGTTGTAACTACTGCTAAGACCTCAAAGGTGGATGAGGCAGAGTTCCTCTCATTGAGAAATTTACTGTCTTTTGGATTCTAAATTTGCTTTTCGTTTGTCATTTCAATATATTTTCTTATGAGTATATCATATTTACTTTATAATACATCAATATGTTGAATATGGAAAATCTAGTCAATCAGAGATGTTAGGTGGTGGTTTTAAGTTAATGTTGCACATACTCTGTTTTTCGAAGATTAAATGTGAAAATCAAATCAAACATTGCTAATGTAAAATAGTCCAGCAATTTATATGACAGTATGGTGAGTTAAGTGGCTTATTATAAACACTAAATTTTGAAACAGTCTAAAAACTTTAAAATGTAAATAATTTTTTTATTTACTATGTTCCCAGTGTTCCTAAGGAACTGATTTTAACTGTTTTCTCTATTAGATTTGCTTTGCTGCTAAGGTCTCATTTTTTGGTGATCTAAATTAACAAGTTCTAGATGAAAAACCTGAGAAATTTTAACTTCGGAAAGTACCAGAAGATAAATATATAAAAACAACATATAATACTTCTGGGATCCTAATTCTCTTTTTAGGGCTTGTATTGGATCCAGAAACAAATTGATTAATATGTAATCTATGACCAGTAATAATAGCTAATATTTATTGAGCACAGTGCCCAGTACTATGGAGAATTTTACATGCATTAGCTCATTTACCTTGTGAAGTAGGTATCATTATTATCTCAGTTTTACAGATAAGAAACTAAAGCTTTGAGAATATAAATGACTTGCCCAGTTTCACACAGCTGACCAGTCCCAAAGCTAGAATTTAACCCCATGTCTGTTTGCTTCTAAGAACTAGTCTATAATATAACTTGCGTGAATAGGCCTTGCTTGAACCAATATTACTTTGAAGCAAGATTACTTTGAAAACATCTTGTATAATTTTTATGTGTGTGTATGTGTATATGTACGCAGGTATGTGCATATATATTTTTTTAATCATGTCAGGTAATGTGCCGAGGTTGCAACAAGGTTTGAGGGAAGCACATGTCCCATAACAGTGTGAACACCCTACCATCATGCTCATGAACTAAAAAGGATCTATAAATATATTTTTTACTTAATTCTGTGGGTATGCTAAAGGGAAGGATGAATGTTGGAAAGTTTTATACACATACGTACAAAGTTTTGTATAAATAAGGCCATCGACTATATGCTAGACACATTTAAATTTTTTTGTTTTCTGTATCCTACCTCCCTTCATCTTTATTCTTCTTCATCTCAGGATGAACAACCTGGAGTATCCTTACATACTATATTCCTGCTTCTGTAATTGTGCACACACACCCATATATAACCGGTTGACCAGTTTTTTAAAATCAAGTTATGTTATATACATATCATATTAATACGTACATATTATATATGTATACATTATCCATCTTATGGATGTCCTATGATTTATTTAACCATTTCCCATTTTGGCAGGTTTTTACATTGTTTCCTATTGATAGACACTACAAACAATTCCTTAATAAACATTGCTATTCATATACCTTTAAATAGTGGTGCTTTTTTTTCTTTGGGATAGATCCTGAGGAATGGACTTGTTAGATTAAGGGAATGTTCTTTTGGTTTTGGTTTTTTTAATAGATTTTTCCAAATTGCTGGTGGACATGTTTTATAGCCTCTTTGGAAACCAGTATATGACAGTCTGTGTCATTTTTATACTCTGCCAGTCAGGTGTGAAGGAATAGTTCATTGCTGCTTCATTTTACCTTCCCTGATATCCAAGAAGGTTGAGCATCTTTTTTATGATATTAACCAGTTGTACTTAATTCTCTGTGATTTGACTGTTTATATCATTTGACCATTTTACCTTTGAATTGTGGAGCTTTTTTCTTTCCTATTTTGAAAACTCTTTTAAGTTTTTTAGATATTGAAGCATCTTATGTTATAGTCATTTCAAGTATTTTTCTTAGTAGTATATTCTTCTGCTCTTTTCCTTCACGATTTCTGTCTTTAAATTTTTTTTCTAGATTTTAAGTTATTTCTTGTACTTGACTTTCTAGGCCAGAAATGTTAAGGGTAGTTTCAAAGTAAAATTTTAGCTGTGATTCTCAGGTGAATTTATCTTAACAAAAACTCTTCATCCCTAGACGACTTTACTCATCCATCTATTGTTTAAAGCAAGTGGGAGTGGGAGAGGGCAGGAAATGACAGGATTTCTGTGTTACTTAGAGTATTCATCTTATGTTTTTATTTAATCCTGTGGGTATGCTGAAAAGATGGATGAATGTAAGGTGGGAATATTTTTATTTAGTGAGAGGTAATAAGCTCAAAGAGTCCAAAATGAGTGTCAATAACCAGTTGCTAAGACTAAAGAGTGTAACTTGACTAGATAAAAAATGTTGAATGCCTTACTTCACAAAAATAACTTGTAACTTTGGTTGCCTTAGGACAAGGGAACTGGGTGACTGGAGGATAGTAGGTGGAAAGAAACTTTTTTTTTTTTTAAAGAGACTATTATAAATTCTTTACTAACCTTTTGGGTTTGTTTGTTTTTAATGTTCTACCTATTGTTTTTAACTGCTTTGTTTTTAATCAAAGTTCTAACCTTTTTTAAAATTAGAAATTCAATATTTCAGATTTTAAAATAAAGAAGTCTTATACTTAGTTCTGGGATTCTGTATTTTCATCTGTCAGAAAAAGCATTAACACAAGCCTTTTCAGCCTTAGCAGAATTGACATTTAGGGCCAGATTATTATTTGTTGTCAAGAACTATTCTGAGCATTGTAGAATTCTTGACAGTGTTCCTGGTCTCTATCCACTGGATACCAGTAGTACCCCCCCAAGTCCCCTAATGTGACAACCAAAAATTTCTCCAGATATTGCCAAATATCCTGTGGGGACAAACTCACCCCTCAATTGAGAACTACTAGGTTAACATACACCAGTTTGAAAAATACTAATCTTAAAAACAGTATCAAACTTAGTAAAATGCTCCGTTAATATTTAAACACCTTTGTTCAAAATTGGCCTGTGTTACATTTTAGGGGAAAAAAAAGAATAACTGTAGTTTTGTGATTAAGTGACCCAAAGGTTACATGGTAAGTTAGCGGCAGAGGCTAGAATCCAGGTTCCTGACACTGTCTGATGTTCTTCCTTCCATACCTTAAAAAAGCTCTTTTCTAATAGTCTTTTTTTTTTAACTGAAACTTTACATATGTAATACCTCAGCCCCCAAATACATAAAGGTATATATGTTTCTTGTTAGATTTTGATATTCATAAAGCACTGATTTTATCATTGTAGACACAAAATGATTTCATGGTTATCTGCAATGTTGCAAAAATCCTAGAGCTGGTTGTACCACTGATGGAGCATCCAAGTGAAACTTTCCTTGCCACTATTGAAGAAGATCTAATGAAGCTTATCATCAAGTATGGCATGACTGTAAGCATTCATTTTACCATCTCGCATTGATTAGTATAAAATTCATAAATGCTAACTAAATCATATGTTTTTACCTTTGTCTTTAACTTTTGTCTAAACTAACATTTTTCTGTATCTTTTAGGTAGTGCAACATTGTGTGAGCTGTCTTGGGGCAGTTGTAAATAAAGTGACACAAAATTTTAAATTTGTGTGGGCCTGTTTCAATAGATACTATGGTAAGTTCAGTGCCTGGGCTTTAAAATTGTCCTCCTAAAATAATAATAATAATAATAATAATTGTCCTTCTACATCCTGTAGTATGTATCGCTCCTTTTTTTTTTGGTATAGCTCCTTTTTAATAAACACATCTGGGCACCTGGGTGGCTCAGTTGTTAAGCGTCTGCCTTTGGCTCAGGTCATGATCCCAGGGTCCTGGAATCAAGTCCCACATCGGGCTCTCTGCTCGGCGGGAAGCCTGCTTCTCCCTCTCCCACTCCCCCTGGTGGTGTTCCTGCTCTCACTCTCTCTCTCTCTCTATCAAATAAATAAAATCTTTAAAAGAAAAAGAAAAACACATCTGATAAAGACAGCATTGAGGGAATTTTAAGAGGTGTGATTGTCCTCTGGTCCATTCTCAGAAGCAGTATTTTCTAGTATCTTTTGTATTTCCTTAAGAATTCAGTGTAATTCCTTCAGAAATTTACCTCATATTAAATGTTGGTAAGTTTTTTGCCCACTGTGTAAAATAAAATTTAAATATCTTTTTTTTTCTTCTATTAATTCTTTTAGCCTGTAAGGTATGCCCTCATAATTCTAGATTTGTGTGATACTTAGAACCATTAGTAAAATTTAATTATAACAACTTGGGAGTAATTACTTAAAGATAATTCAAGGATAAAAGGTTTCTTGTAAATAAATATTACTTATCTTAATAGGTGCCATTTCAAAATTAAAAAGTCAGCACCAGGAAGACCCAAATAACACCTCACTTCTAACAAACAAACCAGCACTTCTCAGATCCCTTTTCACTGTTGGAGCACTATGTCGGCATTTTGATTTTGATCTAGAGGATTTTAAAGGCAACAGTAAGGTAAAGATTCTAATATTAATTACTTAGTATGCTATAAAAAATAGGACTGTGTAACCCTGTGAACTGAAAATTACTAATGACCCAGGATGAAAGCAGCATTAGAGTAGTCTGGTTTAATGAGAATTCTGAAGCAGTGCAACCCAAAACATGGTCCTCAGACTAGCCTCTGATCTACAAACTGTTTGTTACTGGTTTATAACAAGAAGCTTGGGCGCCTGGGTGGCTCAGTTGGTTAAGCGACTGCCTTCGGCTCGGGTCACGATCCTGGAGTCCTGGGATCGAGTCCCACATCGGGCTCCCTGCCCAGCGGGGAGTCTGCTTCTCCCTCTGACCCTCTTCTCTCTCATGCTCTCTATCTCCCATTCTCTCTCTCTCAAATAAATAAATAAAATCTTTAAAAAAAAAAAAGAAAGAAGCTTACACAAGTTTTATCAGCTCTGTAACTGTAGGCACACTGGGTAAGCAGCTGACTTTTTTTTTTTTTTTCTCAGTGAAGGAACAGGATGTTAATTTGTATTCTTATACAAACTTCTTTGTCACAGATTTATTTTGAATGTCACTGTTCTAAAATCTATGGATTTATAAATTTATTGGTGATTTATTCTTTAGTAAAGTTCACATGTGGAAGTTCTCACTGTTTGCTTTTAGGTTTTTCCTTTATAGTTGAAAACTGATCAAAGTTACTCTTCTTCATACACTTGAATGTGGTTTTTTTCCCCTTAGGTTAATATAAAGGATAAAGTACTTGAACTATTGATGTATTTTACAAAACATTCAGATGAAGAAGTACAAACAAAAGCCATCATTGGTCTAGGTAAGTTAAGTCTAAATTTCTTTATGGTTTTGGTTGTTTGAGAGGTTGAACAAATTTTGCAATAATGTGAGTCTAAACTGTTGTTTTATTTAAATATGTTTCTATTCACAGTAGGATTTGGTATACAGAATATAGGACTGGGGGTTAAGACACCTGGGTTCCATTCTTGGCTCAGCCAGTGATTTTCTGGGTGACCTTGTGCAAGTCATGTAACTTCTCTGTTCATCAGAGAAACTTTATTTTGGTAGCATTAGCGAGTTTTATAATTTAATATGTATGAGCAATTGTTCATATTAGTCTTTTGAACAAAAGTGAGTAATAAATTTTTAGTTACCCAAACCTCACTAAATATTTCCTGATTTCTTTAAATAAATTTAAATCTTAGTATCTTACTCCTCCTTCATCCCTTTCAGAAAATTACATATAGCGAATCTACTAAAAATTGAGATATCACTTACTTTAGGGAGTTATATTAGTACAGTGTTAACCTTCAAGCCAAATGTGTACCTTTTAATATTCAGTCTGGATATAAGTTATATGAAGTGGCAAAACTTACAGTGTTAATTCAGAGAACAAATAGTGCAAATTTTAACTTGAAAAATTAGCACTATGTAGAAAATAGTGCCTCTAGACCAGTTAATAAATGACATCTTGCTTGGGCCATAGTTCTGTTATACTGTGTGACCTTGGATTAGTTATCTGATCACTCTATGCTTTGAGTTTAGTTTGTTATTTGGCATCAGTAATACTTGCTATCATT